ATCGCCTGGTGAATAAAATATTAAATCAAACTTACACTTACACAGTTACAAACACCAGAAACTATTTTAGAGTTTGAATTTAATAATAAACCATGGCTTGTAAGGATTTTCCTTCATGGATCATTGCCGAATACACTCTGCCATAATGAAAATAAATTCTGTAATCTGCACATGATGAAGCTTTACGGAAATTATGAAGCCGAGTAAGTAACCATTAATAAGTCGATATTCTTTCAGTCTGGCTGTTGTCCAGTCACTTCGATGCAACAAATATGCGAACATATCAGCTATTTAACACAAAGGCATAAGTATGAAGTTTTTTTTGCCAAGTTTTTACGTTACACGGATCTACCAGAGTTATCGTCGACTCGTGTTTTACAGTACGACGACGATTGTTTGACTCTTGGCGAACATTTAACTCGTTTGCTAACTCAACAAGTTCAAACAGTTTAGCTTTACGAACATTGCTGCAAGTTATACCACGATCCTGAAGAAATTTGCGGAGTTCTGGGACTTTTTTGCTTTTCCAATCTATTGATTTACGCATGTAAGAATACAGAACTTCAATAAAAACAACCCCACTCAGGCTCGTCATCCGGGTATTTTGGATGCGCCCTCTAGCGGAATTCCGTAGAAAACTAACAACTCGAAAATTCGGCTGGAAAATTAGGAATTGTAGCTGGTTGAAACGAGTGACGTCATGCCTTGAACCAAAGTTGAACTGACAATACAGCCCATAATGCCACAACTATCAATAAGCTTTACAAAGAATTATATTATCTGACAACCTTTTATCGCGTGACCAACTCCGTGTGTCAAAATAACAGAAATTCGTAATTTATAGAGTTCTACCCTTACAAATCACGTCGTCACCTGCGCATGCGTCAGATGGCCGTAGCGTGTCATTGTTTATAAACAAGCCTCTACCCATGAGCCTTTGCGTTTTAGCGTGTGTTGTTATCGTCGCTTGGGACTTCATTCCCGCGCGTGCGCATGTAACGGCCCTCCCGCTTTAATTTGTGCTCACGCGCGTTTTCAAAATGGACAGAAATATTATTCTTCATGGGAATATATTTTCAAATAAACTTTCAGTCGTCATTAATATGGTTATTGACATTTCACAATATTGCACGATTTGGTTGTCTCTACGCATTGTTCGAGCACACACATACTGATGACGTTTAGCGGGTATAGCAGTACGTTTAGTGTAAACTATTATTTATGTACAGAATATTGCACACTAAATGTCACTATTTTGTATGATGTGTATCATAGTCACGTGATAAGATGTTTTTTTCTTTTTTGCAGCATAATGACACTACCTTAACTCCATTTGCTGTAGTGGTTTCTCGGAATGCGAAATCGGTAACAGTGAGACCCACTAAATACGTGGACATTATAGGAGACGTGTCAAAGGTTACTGTCAACCAATCGCCATTGACTTCAGTGAGAATAACCGGCATATTTGACACTGCCGTCCGCCCAACACGATGCGTGATGACTATGTCAAAGGTCGCCTTGTAGCGTGGTTCGTCAAATGCGGGAAATACCATTCTAGCAAATGTGGTTTCCAGCTGCGAGACAGCGATTGTCCTGAGGGGGAAAAAGAAACAACACACGTCGCAGTAAATCAATAAGCTGTGTGTAATTACACGATGGTGTGTAATAAATCGCATCACATTGTGCAGTCGGAGAAATAGCGTGTAATGATCTATTTAAACTAACATTTCAAGTAGCAAGGAGTTAACTATGCTTCATTGAACCCACTCCCTTTAGACGAATAATGCGATCCACGGTACCGTGGGACGACTGTTGTAGATTAACCGACATGGTTTTGAATGAAGTAACTACTTGAGCTTAAAAGATCAAACATTTTTTCTCTCTTAGTGAGATATTCATCAACTGTATAGAGTTTGCTTGGAGAGCCTGAATGAACACTAGCCATGCGGGGATGGGTGGTACGTCAATTAAATAAATGTATATGGTGTCGCAATGTTGAGTTCTGCGGCGTACCTCTAAAATATCTATATTCATATATTAGTGGCTAAAACACGTGAATCGCCACAAAATGCGCAACATGCGTAACTCGAAATATGGTAGGAAACCGGAGACCGCATCTCACAATCCAGGAAAAATGGATGGGGGAATGGGACATATTTTCATACCATGCGGTGTGTATATACGTAATATAACAGTTTCTAAAGTAAAACATGTCGCAGGTAGGTCCGACAACGTGGCGTCATTTTAAAGCACGCTGGTGATTTGTTCAAGCGTATACACAAACACGCACGCGCTATCTCGTTGATCTTTGAAAGTTCAATGTAAATTTCAAACAATCTATCCAGGTACCCCTTTTTTAGAACCCTCGATTTGTCTATTGATCTCGGATATAAGGCAAGTGCAATAC